GGTCATTTGTGTTAACTGTACACATCACCCCACACAGAAACGGTCTCCATAGGAATTATCAGTGTCGTGAAGAAAGTTTTTATTTCTATTTCAAACCTCATATTCCTCCAGCCCTTAGTAAAAAACCTTCTGTCATATGTTTCTGCCTGACTTGCACCAGGACTCACAGAATGATTCATCCTAACATGAAAAAGTATTTTCATCAACCTCAAAGATTTTCAGGAATTACCAGATCAAAGAATTGTTAAAAGAATTTTTCCAAAAGCTCATTCTACTTGCCCCTCCAAGCAAAATATTAACTTTGTGATGGACTTTACACATTCCTAGGCCGTAACAGAGGCATGAAACTTTTCTTTCTTTCTCTCTTTCTCTCTTTGTAAATAGAGACAGATTTCGATGCTGCCCAGGCTGGTCTCGAACTCTTGGGCTCAAAGTGATCCACCCGCCTCAGCCTCCCAAAGTGCCAGGATTACAGGCGTGAGCCACCACACCTGGCCCCACACAAAAGTTTTTGATATTAGATGTGCTACCTTCAAAGATGGCTCTGTGGATCCAATATCTGCTTCTCTTTCATTCATAAAATTCACCAAGTTCACACTGGAAAACATTATTCTATGGTTATTCCAGAAAATATTGGATTCCCCGTTTTGTTTGAAAACACAGACGAAATCATGCTCTAGTCTGCTGCAAGTGCACAGCAGGCAGTGGAAAATGGGATGAGTGGGTCCAAGAAAGTTCCACTTTTCAAACATTCATCCTGCACCACCTGTTTAGTTGCCTGGGTAAAAGCCCCACCCAGAGAGGTTTTACCCCAGGTTAATAAAGACACTTTTTATATTCATATTTGAGTTGTGACTGCTAGTAATGTTTTCTATTCTAGACTGTGAAATTTGTATTTTTGTTATTATCTTTGTTTCTATACCTCAAAGAACCACTTAGAATCACTGATTCATTTCCATAAAGCAGGAACTTTCCGATATTTATTAACAACCGCTAAGTTCAAACATAAAAAAATACACTTCAAAAACATAAAAATACCTTCACTGAGACACCTTATATCCTCTTAATTATTAGCTGAATTGTAATTGATCTTACATTTTGATTTTGTGACATATATATTTCCTTTACTCCAAAATTAAATACACCACCTTCTTACTTACGGCGAGGGGCATTAGGTGGCTTGTGAATTTGATAACTGCTCTATGCAGAGGGTTACTGTCTGAGATTCATCAATTGAGCATGTGACAAGAACAGAATAGCACTTTAAAGAAGATTAATTGAGGACTTTGCTCAGCATTTACTTAATTCGGGAAAGCTTCAAAAGTTGAAGATCAATCACGGGACTTTCAAAATAATCCAAGTGAGACATGAAGAGACTGGATTAAGGAGGAGCACCATGGAAATGACGCAGAAGGATCATAAGCCTGAACTGTTTCAGGGACAATACACAGAATTTGGAGAAAGGAGGGAGTGATGACTACAAGATATTTTTCTGCAAATAATCAAACATTCATACATATTATTTTGTATTCATATATTATAGTCTTCATGGAGTAAGGTGCTAATGTAACAAATCTTGGATTTTATAAAAGCAACTTTTGACCATTTTTTCTGTGTGTGTGTGTGTGTGTGTGTGTGTGTGTGTGCATGTAGCAAACTTACTCCCTCAGAGAAGCAGAAATTATTTGTCTTACTGACACTGGAATCTATCCTCTGTAGGTTTATTCAATCAGAAAAATAACTGAGTGTTTGGTCCTACAATATTTATACACTTTGCATGGGGAAAAAAAAGCCACCAAATATGTATTCTGTACTTACTGAAAAATCACCAACTATGGTTTTATATTTACTGAATACAAGTAAATTAATGAAACATGTTCAGGACAACCAGGTATAGATTGCTATTTTTTCTGTTGAGTTGAGGTAAGTACTTGTGCTAGTAATTTTAAAAAGCATGTCTCCACTCCTAGAAGGCTGTGTGCTGTGCTACAAGAGAAGCTGATGTCTCTGCTTCCCCATCTTTGTTCTGTGGAGCCACATAGGCAGCCCGATACCTGGGCAAATGCTTACCTGGCCAGATCCAAAGGGCTGGCGCACCCAGAGTCATGGCTAGGTTGTGTGCAGCACAAATTCCTGCCTCTAGTTTCCCTGTATTCGTCTTTCCTAAGAAATCAGTACCTGAGCTTTTTCAAAATAACTGGAGAAGAAACGAGGCAGAAAGTGTCTTTTTAAACACAATTCTCATTCACTCAGAAAACTGAGAGAAGAGTTCTAGGTGATAATTGATGTCAACCTGTAAAATTTTTCAACAGCTTCAGTGTCTGTTTTCTCTACAACATTGTCATCAACTCACAAGCAAATATCACAAGGAGGCAGCATAATGGCCTCATTAGGGCAGTTTCACGGTGACCCAAACCAGCAACAATGCATGCATCTGTCATGCATCTTCCTAGAAAGTCCTAAAATTCTACAGGAAAAACCTCTTGGAAAGAAAGTTTCAAATGTTGATGAGGTCCACCCATATAGCTGAATCTCTTCAGGTGAGAACTATAAACATGAGACACTTCTTCAGTTTTATCCATTTTGTAAGCTTCCCATTTGCTGAAATATTCTTCACAGTAATATTTGTGTTCATTGCATTGCTTCCAAGTATTTAAAACCCCCAAAGCAGTATGCAATCCGTGTGTTTTATGCCATTTCAGCAGAAATGTCTAAAGCAATGTTTACCTTTGCTGCTTATGGATCGCCAAATAAGACAGCTTGCTTCCTTAGTTGAAGGTCCCCTGAAAAACTTCTAGAACCCTCCTTGGGTCTAACGCATGGTTAGTTATTGTTGTATATTCATTTTGCTACCTTAACAAGGAGCAATTGTAGAGGTGTCAAGCCACAAATAGCAATGCTGTCTAACTTCATTAGACCATGAAAACACATGGGTTATCCTTGGAAACAAGCATATATATATTTTTTAATTTGTTGCAGTAGCATCTTGAATTATATGTATCACGAGAGAATATAAAATCTTTTTCATGTTTTTCACACATTGTCATAACTTATCATTGTTTTCCATTCTTTTAATATTATGCTCTCTACGAGATATAGCCCCTGGGTGGCCCAAATGTCTGGTGAAACAAGTGTGATCTGAGATGGACCTTGGGCATCAGTGCTACAGAGAATGATAGGTGTGTGTGGGCCATAATGATGTTGACATTAATATGCTACTAATTCCTCCATGACTCTGGTAAATCATCTCCATCTTTTCTAGGTTTTGCATTTCCAAATTCTTGCCCCTTCTGTCTTACTAATTCTCCTTAATACCCTGCATTCCTTTAGCCTGAGGTGGAAAATTTATAAGTAGGGAGGGAAATCCTAAAAATAACTAAGTGGCACAATGCACTAAGGAAGTCTAGCTTGACTCAGTAGACATGTTTACAGCTGCAGAGCCTTATGCGTTCTCTCTTTAGACCAGAGAGTTTACCTTACACTCATCCTGTGTTGGTCTGCAAGTGGCCAAGACACCATTCAATGAGCAACTGGCAAACACTCCCTTATGCCAGAATGCTTATTTATGGGGATATTAAAAACACTAGGTCTGTTATAGTTCTACTTGGAAACTTCAGATGCCTTTTCTTCTAACTTTGGAATTTGAATAAGATGGAAGAAGCACTTTGCGCATAATTGTTTTTTTAAAACTAAAGGCAATTCCAACACAGAAAACGCCTCTTTTGGACAAGACTAGCCAACTTAGAGATGAAGACAGCAGGGTCTTAGCTGTCAGTGAGATATACCTCTTTGATCTTGGGAAATTCTGAAGGAATTTCTCATTTCAAAATAAGAATAAATACTCTTGGGTAAAAGGAAGGAGAGAAAATTCTTCAGGTCACCTTCCATTTTTTCCTTATACACAAATTACAATCAGTTGACCTCGGCCTAGCATTTTGATTAAAAATGATTCAAGACAGGACTGAAAGAAAACACCAAGAAGAGTGTTTTATCCTAATCTTAGAAAGGCATATTCGTATGACAACCAGCATAAGAAGCAAGGAATTTGAATTACAGAAAAATAAACTTTAAACTGAAACTGCTCATATAATATATGCAGAGGAGACACAGGGCAGCAAATGCACAAACAAATGTGTGTCTTTAGCCAGCATGTCAAGGATGCCCAAAATGGCTGGTTTTTCATCTCAAACGGTCATGGAATAATAACTTGTCAGTGTTTATTAATTGTTGAAATTGTTTAAAATAAGAGATTAGATTTTCACAAATTCATTTGACACAGACATAGCTATAAGCCCATGAGAAGACAGGCCTAAGGAAAAAGGTAAAATGAATTCACCTGCGTCTGTATTTGTCAACTAAACAAAGCGTTGGTTAATTTATTGAAAAGTATGATAAACCAATGACAATCATTGCATAATTAACTTGCCTCTGAAAGCCAATTACTGATCATGGAGAAAACCAAGTTCTACATTTGTGTGTATATATCATATAAAGATTTTATTTCCTAATATAGATCATTCATTATTTATTTCAAAATGTTAAGAATTTACTAAGTGCTAATATATCATTTCAATTCTTATATTTTAAATATTTTAAACTACATGTTAATTTTCTGAAATTTTCAATTAGTGTCCCAAGTTACAGAAAAAGGAATAACAAACGTGTTAAAATAATTAAATGGTTTCAACGGCATCGCTGAATTTTTTTTTTCCTCTAGACTCTGCAAAAATACTGCACTCTTTAAACAACAAAAATCAAATGAAAACAAGATATGTCAGCCACCGCTCTCAGGATAATGGATGCCCTGTCCACTTCGAGCTGCAGTTGCTGCAGTCAGAGTTCTTTGATCAGCCCTGAACCCAGTTATCACATGGGGGTGGAAGGGAAGGTGCCCTTTCACCTGGTCCCATGATCCTGGCTTGGTGTAGGTCCCAGTGGTGTCCCAGGCTGGGTGGCAAAGGGACACCTGGTAGGGTGAGGCACTCAGTGAGGAGGAGAGAGGCAGAGTCTTCTTTCTGATTGGGGGAGGACAGGAACACACTCACCTTCCCTAAGGTAAGGGAAGAACATAGTTCTCTAGAAAAATCATTTGTCAAGAAAGGGGATGTGGGTGCTGATTTGTATGTCGATTCAGGGGAGTAACTGCGGAGAAGGAAAAAGGTGGGGTGGAAGGCTGGCTCGGTCCTGCCAGTCACTGGGTGGCTGGCAGCGGGCGCTCAGAGGTTGCTGAAGAGTTCGTTTTTCTTGCTCCAGTCTATCTGCGGGGCACGTTTGCTGCTGTGCTTCCAGTGGGCCCTCTCTTTGGCCATGGCCAGGGAGATGTTGAAATCCAGGATGGGGTCAGAGGAGGAGGTAGACTAGGGCACTGTGGAATCCTGTTTTGGGGGGCTGTCTTGGGAATTCAGCTCCTTGCTGGTGTAACTGGAGGCCGTCACCAGGGCTGGTCTGGGGCTCTCTGTGGCTGCCTCTGCCAGGGCTTCACGACTGTTCTTCTGTATCTCCCCATTGGTGAAGGGCTCAGGCAGGGGACCATTCAGGTGCTCCTGAGATGGAGTCGCTTTGCATTTCTTGAAGAACTCGTCCGTCTCCCTGTCCACCACCAGCAGCTTGGTCTCATCCCCGCCAGCCCTGATGGCGGACCCCACGTCCCCATGCTGCTTCCCCTCCATGCGGACCCAGTTCACCACCACAATGCCGTCCTGCGCCCGGAGCCCTGAAGCTTCAGCTGGGGAGTGTGGGTCCACTGACCAGATGAACTGGCCTGGCTTGGACTTGTCGCTGTGCAGGCTGAAGCTATAGCCATTGGGGCCCTTCCTCACGGTACAGAGCCGAGGCCGAAGCTTGAGCTGCTCCGGGCGGCTCGTGTCGCCCTCGCTGGGCTCATTTTCACTGCCAGCCCCCTGCGCCTCGGCGGCGGCCGGCGGCTCGCCCTGCCCCGGCGCTTCCTGGGTGCGCAGCAGCTCCCCGCGGACCTGGACGCCGAGCTTCTGCAGCTGCTCGTCCGTCTCGGGGTCGACCTCCAGCAGGCGCACGGCGTTAGCGCGGCGCGGATGCGTTCACCACCCGCGGGTGGGTCTCGCCGTTCACCTCCACCAGCCGGTCCCGGCCAGCAGCCCCGCCTTCTCGGCCGCCGAGCCGGGCTCCACCAGCGAGGTACAGGCCCACCTTGCCCTTCTCGCCGTGCAGGTGGAAGCCCTAGCCGCTCGCACCCTTCTCCAGGCAGCAGAGCCGGAGCAGGGGCGCCCCGGCCGCCGCATCCGCGCTCATCTCGCCCTGCGACGGCTCAGCGGCGCCACTCGGGGTTCCGTTGGCGACTGGACGGCTCAGCCCTTCTTCCCGCCCAGAGAACCGGGAGCGCAGCAGGGAAGCCCGGCGCCGCGGGACGGGCGAAGCCAGCAGGTGTCCCGGGAATCGCCGGCCGCCGCGAACCTTGAGAAAAGAGAGGAGCGCGGACCAATCCCCGCCCCGCGCGGCGTCCGCATCTCTGAATTTCTTTGATATTATTATTAAAATGTTTTCTTCAATTCTAATCAAAATCTTATTTTTCGCCCTAAGTCTTTGTCAGCTTTTTTCAGTCTTATTTTTACATATAACATGCCACGGAGTTCTTCTAGCTTAAAGTGATGCAATGTGAAAGGTGTAGAAATGCAAACACTGACCCTTAGCTTCTTAACTTTACAACAGGTCAATTCATCCTGAAATTAGCCAACACCATGTTAGAGGCTACACTGAAATTCTAACTATGAATATGTAGAAAGCCAAACATATTTAATTAATTATAATCCAATCTATCCAATATTCGTGGTAATGTATTTTTACAAGTTGAAAGTAATTCTGGATTATGCATCATAACTTATGAAACCTTTGGTGGAAAACTTGAGTCTTCCCCCATTAAAGGGAATTAATTAAGTTGCTTGTAAAAGTTCATTAACTTGTTTTGGCCCATGGGTTCATCATTTATTGACACGGAAGAACTAGTTTACTTGTGGTATCCAAGAGGCATGAAGAAAGATACCTCCAAAAAGTCCATTTTGATCCCTTACCCTGGGCCAGACAGGATGGCATGGCTACCTTCTTCCCTGATGCCATAGCTACCTTCTTCCCCTCTCACCCCTCAGGCTAAGGCTTGAGTAACTATCACAGCTGTTTCCATGGCGTCTTCCTATCACGTGGGTACAAAGCACTGGGCTGCACAACTGGAAAACTACTTGTTTTCTGCCTGCTAATTTTTAGCTCCAAGATCTTTACACTCCACTGGAGAAAGGCTTTAATGTCTGAGTCAAGGGGTCACTTATTTGTTAGTTTAATTATTTATGATCAGAACATTTGTTCAGTCATTCTTCCATAGACCATCTGAATCTAATAAAGGATATTAAAACACTAGAGATAATCTACAGCCTTCAATAAATCACCCCCAGTTTGGAACTCCTTTGATGAATATTGCAGGCTACCACGTGGGAGAAGAAAAAAGTCAAAACCAATTAAAAAAAGCAACAACAATGAGTTTGTAATAAACTAGGTAGCTAACTAAAGTAATAAAATAGGCCTGTTTTTCTAACTTCATTAACATGAAAATAAATTTTATTAAGATTGATATCATGCTTTTTTTGCACGATGAGTTACAGGAACATGAACTAAAAATAAAATGATCCCTATGATAAAGAGCCCTCATAGTCATGTACTTTAGTACAAAATATGATTTGACATCAAGAAGAGCTATGGCTTGAGATTACCCTTGTTTTCCTTTATCCCCTGTGTCCAGGCTTAATCACTGTTTCAATGATAATGACAATCCCCTTAGGTTCTGCAGAAATAGAATCTAAAGTAACAAAACAGAGCCCAAATCTCTGCAACAAATGAAATAACAGACTTAACTAAGAAAAATGAAAAGAAAAATGTTAAGTTGCTCATCTTTGATAACTATACTGCCTATAACAATGTCAGAACATATTTATTTGGTCCATTGTGCAATGTATTAAATATGCTCAAATACAGAGAACACCAAGAAATACAACAGGGAGTTAAAAAAAAAAAAAAAAGAACCAGGGCAATAAGAAAATAGGAAAGCATAATTACATAAAATACAGTGTACACTTCTGAATCTTTTTAATATATGCCTACAAATATATTTTGTTAACAGTGTAAATTTAATTTCCTCTGAGAATTCATTCAAAGAAGTTCCACCTGAGTTTGTGTTCAGAAAATGCCAGGATGATTCCTTATCAGGATGTATTTGGTGTTTAAAGTTCCCTCTAATTCACACAGCAAGACAACATTCAATTTTCTACACTTCTGCTTAAGCATACGTAAAAGAAACACACTCCTCATGAGATATGTTTACAAATATAAATGGAATAGTCACAGTGGAGCATGAATAAACCATTATATGCTTATTTCTCTACAGTGGATGCTAAAGAGAGAATCGAGTCAGCCATAATAAGAAATAAACTAAGAGCTGTAGTTAAAACATAATAAAAATTTTTTAAATGCTTCTTTACTTTGCCAATTTTCTCATCCAAATAGGGATAATTAAATAATCTAGGACAACAAACTGTATACTGTGGCAGAAAAAAAAAAAAAGAATCCAAGGCTAAAAACAAGGACATGGCAGAATCTAAGGCATCCAATAAGTAATACTCAGATATTGCAAGGGGTATACAAAGAGTTCAAACACTGTCAAGTTAGATGTGACCCATTCAAGGCACACACAAATTGTACCAAGGGAGACCCAGCAGGACGAGGGAGCCAAAGTCATCAATTTATTCCTGTCAAATACATTCTTGGCGTTTCAGATACGAACAAATATGCTTATTCAGAATTTTATTTCCTTCTGCAAAGTATAAATCAATTATAATTATTTTGTTAAATGAAAATTCAATGAGAGTTACCAAGGAGCAATACAAGGAAAAAGGCAGACTCACCATCTCTTCGATTAAGCCTCGAAAACCCAGGGCCATGGCTGCTGGACAGCTCTGAGGAGCTGCTGAAGGATGACCTAGGCAAGGCAGAGGCCAGCGGGGCATCACAGTCACCTGCTGGGAAAAATACTTTGATACAGTGAACACGCAGATTACAGCTTGAGAGAAATAACAGTCCAAAATTATATATGAATATATTCTAGGATATATGGCCATCATCACTTTTAAAATTCTTTTAATTTTTAAAATTTACATTGCAGTATAATTTATACAGAGTAGAGTTCCAGAGAATTTATTTAATTTTTTTAAGTGTACAACTCTATTCGTTTTGACAAATGCATGCAGTCATGTAACATGTAACCTCCAACATACTGAAGACATAAAACTGATACACTGGCCCTCAAAGTTCCCCAATGTCCCACATCTTCTCAATTCTGCAAGTTGTCCAGGAGCACCACCCATCCAACGCGACTTTAAACTCAATTTGATGCTTAGATTCTTTAGATACACACACACAGAGGTAGTGTGAGTTCCGTGCCCAAACCTTGATAATGGCTAGAAATTCTTATGGTGCTCCTGCAAGATCCTGTGGGGGATGAGACAGGTGAGGAACACCAGGTGTTCAGGTCAGAGTTATCTGTGTGAAGCCAGGACCCATGAAAGGCAACACCTGTAGTGACTGAACTGGAAAAATCCCTCTGCAGAGGGAATCACTGGCGGATACTTGGCTGCAGGAGATGGAGGTTCCTCCTTTTTGCCTGGTATCTCGAGCATTGCAGGGACTTGCCCTGTCTTTCCATGGACCCCTGCATGTCACCCTCATCTCAGGGTGACTCTCTATTGTTTGAGCTCTGGTCTAAAAGAATTGCTGGGGGTTAAGTAGTGTTTGACCTAGATCACCTTATTTGTCATCAGACCATGAGGACCCTCAGGCCCCTCCTGCTCTGGGTGTTCCCCACTCCTCAAACGTGAGGAGCCCCTGGGACCATTCCCACCTTGGGTAGCTCTTTTCCTGTGTGTAATCATGTGTAACAGAAGCAACCCAAAGGTAACCTCTGTGTCCTGCAGTCCAATGCTGTAATCACTGTACTTTCAAGCATGCCACATATTTTCTCATAAAAAGAGTACCTCTTCTAGCATGGTTATTGATCTAATAATGTTAGACATAAATTTTCTGTCACACATTAGGATATTTCTGTGAAACAGGGATGCTAAGCCTTAAATACATAATGAGATGATTCTGAACTGCATATTTTGTATACACTGTTTTTCTTTGTGAGCCACTTGTTAAGTCACAGAAAGAAGGCAAAGAGAATTAGATTGCTATGACTTAACAAAAGTGTCAACTATGTGCAGTGAGATAGATATAAGAGGTTGTCCAAGGTCTCTCCCTGATTTGTTTGGTTGAGTACATGATAGTGGAGCAACAGAAAGATTAAGTGCACATAAGTTGCCTGAGTGAGTATCATTTCATAAAGGAATACTAGAATTACATCTGCTTTTCTAAAAGCATGTGCTGTCATTAAGACAGAGTCACATCTTTAAAACATGACAAAAGAAAAACTCAGTAACTCATTGTGAAGCATCTATTCTACAATAGGGAGAAGAGTGTTTCGTTGCTTGGTAAAACATTCAAACTATTTGATACAGGAACATTTTTCTATATATTTCCTAAAAGTGACAATGTTAAATTTACATAGGTGAATCAGACACTGGGACTTGTGATTTTTTACAAATGAAGAGCAGCATAATCTAGCAAAGAAAATTGCATTTAACACCTTTAGCATGAAGAGCACCCAATATTTTCACATAGCAAGACGCCAATCAAATGTGTAGAGCTGTTAAGAAAGGTTTGTTTTCTCTGCGGTTTCCTTAAATGTACCTCTCAATGTTTACGTCACAAGAGAGGCTTTCTTGGTTTCCCCAGCACACATGCTCTTTGGATAACACTGTGCAGTCAGGATTCTCAGACTTCAGCAAACATGCTACATGTGGGCTAAGAAAAATAGATAAATGCTAATCCAACTGGCTAAGAAGTTTAATTAAATTTTCTAAAATGGCATTTTAAAACTGTGAAGAAACTAAGATACAAGAAGGCAACTAAGGCTCTACTAGATCTACAGACAAGTCCCACATGGCTCTGAGTGGTCACAGCAGGATCCAAGAAGGAAGGCCCTCTATGAGGGAATAGTGCCTCCTAAGCCCATCTGCCTGATGTTATTTTCTCTTGGTTTTTCTGGGAAAGAATAAAACAAATCCAGGGACATCTAAAGAAGCATTCACTTTTTTTGGATAAATCTATTCCTACATCATGAAAGCATGATAGCTGTTCTCATGATGCCTCTGTCCTGCAGTAACATGCAATACGTAAAACTGCACTGGGCATTTCACGTGTCCTTGGGATTCCCGGCTGACATGTCTAACTCTCTCTGTGGAATCATGAGCTCTTGGAGGCACAATAAAAGTCTTTCCCAACTTTGTGTACTCTATACCTAGTGCAGAATCTGAAAGACAGCATGTGCTCAATAAACTTCAACTTAATATTTACTAAAT